TTTTTTTTCAAATTTAAGACAAAGACAACAATTTGATTGATTAAAAAGTTGAATCTTTGTTGGGAGGCAAGGCTAGTTTTGAACTAGGTATAATTAAAAGGGTAAATCATGTAAATGAATCAATGTCTACTAATATAGAAACTCTAGTTCAAGAACATGAACATCTTTTCCATGGACTTGGAACTATAAAAGGCTATAATCATAAAGTGACATTGAAAGACAACTATAGGCCCATTGCTCAGAGATGCCGTCGCATACCTTATGCAATGGTAGATGCAGTAAATCAAGAGCTTGATAAGATTCTAGAGAATGGAATCATTGAAGAAGTGCATCAAGGTTCTGAATGGGTTTCTAACATAATTAAATAAACAATTCTAAATAAACAATAGATGTTCCAAAAGGGATAGTGAGGAAATTAGACTATGCATAGACCTTCGGGAAGTGAATAAAGCAATATTGAGAGAAAGACATCCAATTCCTACAATTGACAATATGTTACATGCCCTTAAAGGTGCTAAAGTATTTGCAAAGCTGGATGCAAAAAAAGGGTTTTGGCAGGTTGACTTAAACCCTCAATCAAGACACCTTACAACTTTCATCACGCACCGTGGTTGTTACAGATTTTGTAAAGTTCCTTTTGGTCTATCAAGTGCTCCAGAGGCATACCAGAAAGGAATGGATTCAATTTTGCTTGATTTGACAGGTGTCATTTGTTACTTGGATGATGTAGTAGTTTACGCCAAAGATAGACAAGAACTAGAAGAAAGGCTTAGAAAAGTCTTACAAAGATTTGATAAAGTAGGCATTAGGCTCAACAGGAATAAGTGCAAATTTTCCATGGAAGAATTGGATAATTTAGGTCACATTGTTAGTAGTGAAGGTATTAAACCTGATAAAGGAAAATAGAAGCAGTCTTAAATTTTCCAATACCAAAAAATATTGAGATGTTAAGGTCATTCTTAGGAGCTTGTGGGTTTTTTAAGAAAATTCATACCTAATTTTTCTAAATTGGCAGAACCTCTAAATAATTTGACTAGAAAAAATGTTAGGTGGAATTGGGATTTAAAAACAAATAAAGCATTTCAGGATCTTAAAGAGTCACTAACAAAAGAGCCATGCTTGGCATATTACAACTTGAACTCACCAACTGAATTAATCACAGATGCAAGCCTTATTGGTCTTGGAGCAGTATTAATACAAACCCAACAAAATGGCATTAAAAGACCCATTGCATATGCCAGAAGATCCTTAACTGATACTGAAAAAAGATATTCACAAATAGAAAAAGATACATTGGGATGTCTATGGGCAATTGAACATTTTAACACCTATATTTGGGGAAGGAAATTTTTGTTAAAAACATATCACAAACCTCTAATCTATATGCTGAATCCTAAAAATGGAGCTGTTTTGCCTCCAAGAATTCAAAGATTGAGTTGGAGATTACAACCATATGACTTTTAAATTGAATTCATTCAAGGAAAGCAAAATATTGCCGATATTTTTTCAAGACAACCTCTTTCTAACACAAGTGATGAAAAATGGCTGGAGGACTATGTTCATAAAGTCTTATCCATCACTTCTGAAGAGCTTCAAGCACTGTCTTTGAAAGAGATAAAAGTTTGTACAGAGCAAGATCCTTTGTTTCAAAAACTGAAAGAGATGGTTCAAAAGGGAGTTTGGCCATATCCTTTAAATGAATAATTCAAAAGTTTTTATAAGTTTAAAGATGAACTCTCAATTTTTGATAGTCTTATCTTAAAAGGAAGTGGAATTTTTCTACCTTCAAAACTAATAAAGAGAGTTTTGAGAATTGCACATGAAACACATCAATAATTGACAAGAATCAAACAACTGTTAAGAAAAAAATATTTTTGGATAAACATGGACTTTAACATTGAAAATTTGATAAGAAACTGTCCAATTTGTGTAAGGAATCAACCATTGATAAATGGTCAACCATTGCAAATAGTTCCGTTACCATCAAAACCTTGGATGAAACTTGGAATTGACATAGTTGGTCCAATTGGCCATCATTATGTTTTAACAGTGATCGACTACTATTCTTCATATCCTGAAGCAATGATAATCAATGATAATAGAAGACATTTCCAGCAAGACAATTATTAAAAAATTGATGGAGATTTTTGCAAGACATGGTTATCCACATGAAGTTGTAACAGATAATGGCTTACAGTTTGTAAGTACATCAATGGAAAGATTTTTAAAAGAATGTGGAATCAGTCACATCAAAGCCTCACCCTATTACCCAAAAAGTAATGGGAAGATAGAAAGATTCCATAGATTTCTAAAGAGACAATTTAATTCAAGTTCTGAAGAAGGGAAAGATTGGAAAGAAGATTTATCCAGAATTTTGATGTCTTACCGAACTACTCCAAACAGATCTACAGGAAAGACTCCAGCATTCCTATTATTTTCAAGAGAAATCAAGACTAAATTAAACTCACTTGTTAATGATGCAGAAGAAGATGAATCCAACATCAAAGAATTCAATATGGTCTACAAAGAAAAAATGAAAACATATAATGATATAATTCGGAAAGCTAGTCCTCATAATTTTGAAATTGGAAATTTAGTTTATGAGGCAAATCCAAATAATGGAAAACTTGATTCACATTTCAGATCAGAACATCATGTCATTCTTGAAAACACTTCAATAAATTCTTTTAAATTAGTCAACACTAAAAGTGGGAAAATAATTCATAGAAATGCTAAACATTTGAAACATGTTCCTACTCAAGAGACCAATCAAGACATTTCTGACTTGATTCCAGAAGAGAGCCAGGAAAATCTTAGTTCAGATTCAACAAGAATTGAATACCCTAACTCTTCTGATGTTCAAATTCCAGATGATAATTCCTCAAACCAAGACAAGGACACTTCTTTAAACCGACCAAGTTCAAGTAGAACAGGGTCTACATTTAACCCAGTTGTTTCAGGTAGACTTGATGCCGAGACTCTTCACCAGTTGCCACCAGAGGTTTCTCCACCCTTGCCGACTACCAAGGAACCCGTGATCACCAGGAGTGGAAGAGTCGTCAAGCCATCATCAAGATATAAGGACATGATTCCTTTCATCTAAAGGAAAGACAGAATGTAGTATTATGTGTTTAAAGATAGAATATATCATCATCAATATAGAGCGCGTGAAGCGAAAAACATTGGATTCGAATATAAAGAAAATTGTAAAATAAAATAAATGTAACATTTTAAATATATATAATTGTAATAAAAGAATTTCATCTGGTGAGTAATGTTTAATTAATAAATTAAATAATAACTATACAACATTAATGTTTGTTCACAGGACCTTCAGGGTAAACCCGAGGCTTGGCCCGGGTAATTCGGATAGTAAAACAGTCGAACTTGGATAATTCAAAGCTAAAAAAATGAAATTATCCAAATATTCGAATTGAAAACGTTTCGAATAAGGCTAAAAGTCTAGGGACCAAGATAAATATTCGAATTGAAGACGTTTTCTAATTATATATTTAAGTTCTACTGTATATTATCTTTGAAAAGTATTTGATTTTTAGAATTCTTTAATTTTATACATCTGCACTTTGATAAACCCCGGGTATTGCACAGGTCATTCGGCTAGTTATCATATATATGTAAAAAAAAACAATAAAAAAATAAAAACGTCAGGTGTTGATGTTAAAAATAAAAAAGGCATATCCTGACCAGGTGCACATGTGCTTTTCAGAAGGCAGAGCGCCATCTGGTGGAACAGAAATCAACTAAACATTGATTTAATCAGTTCCCTGATATTTGGCCAACCCAATTTCTTGATAAATTTCTTGATGGCTGTTCTTTATTTATCAAGAATTTGGGTTGGCCAAATATCAGGGAACAGGTTAAATCGATGTTTAGTTGATTTCTGTTCCACCAGATGGCGCTCTGCCTTCTGAAAAGCACATGTGCACCTGGTCAGGATATGCCTTTTTATTTTTAATATATATATGTGTGAAAAAATAGTACAAATATGATATTGTACTGGGATAAGGTGCATAATTATGAAAAAAAAGGCATCTCCTTATCGTGCAACTGAAAGTTGCTGATGGCTTGCGCCATCTATCGGAATAAATATCAACTATTCTCGTTGATTTTTAATTATTCCAGAATTAGCCAAATACCCATTCTTGATTAATCAAGAAAAGGTAACCACGGACGCGTTTCATATTTATATCAAATATCATATTTATTTTGGCCAAATTTTGGCCAATTCTGAAATAATTAAAAATCAACGAGAATAGTTGATATTTATTCCTATAGATGGCGCAAGCCATCAGCAACTTTCAGTTGCACGATAAGGAGATGTCTTTTTTTTTTTCATAATTATGCACCTTATTCCAGTACAATATCACATTTGTACTATTTTTTCACATTGTGTCGCGGTCTCACGCAATTCTGGCCTTAATTACGCGTTTCATGATTTTTCAGGATGCCTTGAATGACCAGTTTTTTGGTCGTTAAGGTACAGCTTGCACCACGCTGATGAGGGCCAACAGCCCGAAACGAGTCCATGGTTAGCTTTTCTTGATTAATCAAGAATGGGTATTTGGCCAATTCTGGAATAATTAAAAATCAACGATAGTAGTTGATATTTATTCCGATAGATGGCGCAAGCCATGAGCAACTTTCAGTTGCACGATAAGGAGATGCCTATTTTTCATATATATATATTAAAATATACAAGTATCAGAGTCATTAATCAACAATCAATCAACAATTCTGTCACCGTTTGCTTTTGTGAATGGAATAAATACCCAAATATGGCCAATTTTTATAAGCATCGGTGGTTCAGTGGTAGAATGCTTGCCTGCCACACGGGCACCCGGGTTCGATTCCCGGCCGATGCATTATATATATATTTTTTTACAATTTTTAAAACTCATTAAATAATATAGTCACGACCGTCTTTCCTCATCGGCCGGCCGCCTCTGTCACGGATGCGCGCGCATCTACCAAAAAAAAACTCCCTCGAGCCGGATTTGACCTAAGGATCACCGCTTAATTACATCTACAGTCCTCCGCTCTGCCAACTGAGCTATCGAGGGATACAAACTGATGAATAAGTTCACCTTATAAAGTCAACTAATCCTATTTCTACACAAAATGTACTCATACCTAACTAATAAATTAAAATTTTGAACAAATACTTATATCAATTCTCACATATTAATATAGATATATTTATATTTTGAAAATAGAACAATCCAAATTTAAAATCATTAGATAAAAAAAAGCAAATATTGGCAAATACATCTCTTATTCAATTCAATATATATGCCTTTTTATTATTTATTACTATATATAGTCACGAGAGTCTTTCCTGATCAGTCAGTCATTGGCCGGCCGCCTCTGTCACGGATGCGCGCGCACAGGGAGGTCACGTGTTCGCCGGCAGCCAACGGGCGCGCGCCGCCGTCAGGGGGGGGGGCATTACGTCACTCAAGGTCACCTACGCGCCAACGATGACACGTGATCGTAGCCGTCCAATAGGAGGGCGCCGGCCATCCGTGACAGAGGCGGCCTATGACTGATTGATTAGGATTAGGATATGCATTTATTTAAGGCGCCAATTTATCGGGTAAAACACGGGCGTTGCCCGGGTCATTCGGCTAGTAATATATACAGTTATCAGAGTCATGCACAATTCTGTCACGTCAAGTCACGTGTCAAGTTACGGTAAGTAAAAAAAAAAAAATGCCGAAACCCGGGATCGAACCAGGGACCTTTAGATCTTCAGTCTAACGCTCTCCCAACTGAGCTATTTCGGCTTATGTTAGTTATTTCTATAGAAGCGTCTATCTTTATAATTATGTATATTTTCAAAAAGTCAATTCACACCTCTTCGCTGGAGACCATGGGAATACTGACTCATTAATTATGCTAACATAATCTAACATTATATTTATCAGAGTCATCAATCAATTCGGTCACCGTTTGCTTTTGTGAATGGAATAAATACCCAAATATGGCCATTTCTTATAAGCATCGATGGTTCAGTGGTAGAATGCTCGCCTGCCACGCGGGCGGTCGGGGTTCGATTCCCGGCCGATGCATTTTTTTTTTTTTTACAATTTTTAAAACTCATTTATATTATTATCCCTATATATATAAAAGTCAGCGTATGTATGTATGTTTGTCAACTATACACGTCCACAATACGTAGCTAATCTGACCGAAATTTTAACAGTATATAAAGTAGAATCTGGAAAAACTCTTAGTGGAAATTTCAGGTCTCTATCCCAAATATCCGTCGTGTTATTTGCAAATTTGCTCTTTCGCTCGCGCCTCTAGAGGTGAAAATGGGGGGTAATACCAGCTGACCTAATGTACATGTAAAGTTTGGAGCGGGACGCTTCACAAGAGTGATATCCACGGCTCCAATTTATAATTGTAACAAATAGTATTTAAATAAAAACATTTAATCGGGTAAAACCCGGGCGTTGCCCGGGTCATTTGGCTAGTTAAAATATACAAGTATCAGAGTCATCAATTCTGTCATCGCGTTTGCTTTTGTGAACGGAATGCTTTCACGTGATATACGTAAAATACGTAACTAATATGACTGAAGTTTTAGCAGTATGTATAGTAGAATCTGTAAAAACTTATATTGAATAAGTCAGGTCTCTATCCCAAATATTCTTCGAGTTATTTGCAAATTTGAGTTGCAAATTTGCTCTTTCGCTCGCAAGCAGCGCCTCTAGCGGTGAAGATGGGAGGTAATATCAGCTGACCTAATGTACAATGTAAAACGTGTTTTAACAGGAAATAGAAAAAAATATGGAAGAGATATTTATCGCATTTTTAGCCAAGAAAAATTGAAATTGACAGGTTCTGTGCAAAAATAGTTGTTTTTTTTTTTTAGTCAGAAAATGATTATGACAATATTGCTGTATCATATTTGATTATCAGATACAAAATTATATTCGGAAAAATTCCAAAAAACAGAGACCACGGGTGAAGCCAGTTCATTTTTAGTATGCAGGAACAAAATTCCAACAGAAAAACATTCATTCGAGCAGAAGACACAAAGCCAGATCATCTCTTTATAAAAATATCGCTTCTCAGACACAAAGTTTGGAGCGGGACGTTTCACAAGAATGGCATCCACGGCGCCAATTTATAATTGTAACGAATAGTATTTGAATAAAAGCATTTAATCGGGTAAAACCTGGGCGTTGCCCGGGTCATTTGGCTAGTCTCTATACTTGTATATATAAAAGTCAATATCTGTCTGTTTCGCGATAAACTCAAAAACTACTGAACTAATTGGTACCAAATTTGGAATGTCGCTTTTTATAAACCTGAGGAAATTTTTCGGCTACATTTTGCTTAGTATTTTTGGCTATTTCTTTTTTTCATTTGAAGAACTTTTTTTTTTACGCGGAGTAAATACGAGGCTTACGCGGAGTAAATACGAGGCAAAGTAACAACACGAGGCCAATTAAGCGACCAATGAGCGTTCTGCATTTCTTTTCAAGTTGCTTGCGTACTTTTTTTTAAATATCTTTTTATACGAGTGTCACTTTTTTTTACAAAAGTATTGAGAGAGTAATTTATATTACTAAGTTACGGTAAGTGCACACAATGCAATTTAAAAAAAAAAACTACAAAATTAGCGTTACTGTATGTAAACAATGGCTTTCTTATTTGTTATTAATTTTTGTTCTGGCCTTTGTTTTTTTTACAGTCAATATGATAATGCTTAAAATTAAACAAACAATAGTCAATATGCAAAAAATACAGTAGTGAAAATTTAATATGAATTACTGTCTCATTTAACAGCCAAAACATGTGTTTGTCTATAATCCATATACCCTTTGGTTTTTATCAGCCTAAAATATTAACATGGCTATTTTGGCATTAGGTTTTTTTTTAGTATTATTATTTTTTTCTGACATGTTGATAGGGCATTACATTTTACAAAGTTACGGTTAGTAAACAATGCAGATTTGACAATATTTGCAAACTTTTATTACTGTATGTAAACAATGGGCTTATGTTTTTGTCATTGTTGTAATGGCCTTTGTTTTGTTATTCTTTTTAAAAAATCATATGTTTCATTGATAGTATTTTGGCTTGCATTTTTATAAGCCTTTTTTTTCTTACTGAGAGAGATGGGGAATTATATTAGAGAGCCTGTCTCCTCACCCTTCCAATTTTATTATGCTGCTTTCTTTTTGTCTACGCAGATATTAGGCTAGGGAAAAGAAATAGTTGAGCATTCTAAAGATTGACCTGTTTGACATGTTTTGCCATTAGATTTTTTAGCCTTATTTTTTTTCTGCTGAAATGTTGAGAGAGAAATTTGTTTTAGTTACCAAGTTATGGTTAGTGAACAATGTAGTTTTGATATTTACAAACTTAATGATGCTATGTGTGGACAATGGGATCTTATGTTTAGTTATTGTTGTGATGGCCTTTGTTTTGTTACCTTTCTTTGAATATGAGATAATACTATTATTAAAAAGGCAGACCTTATTGATAAGATGGGTAGTATGCTTTTTTTCCCTATAGTTGAGTGCGCCCCATCTCCCTATATATATATATTTCCAACATACTTCTGCCTTTTCTACTAGATAATCAGTTTTGTTCTGTAACTTATTCTGATACTTTGGATTTGTTTTGGGTCTGCACTGTTTTCCTTAAAAGTTTTTTTTTATATATATACAAAAATATTTTGGTACTGATTGTGCTATTTCTGTTTTTTAGGACATATTTTCAAATTTAATCATCCCATTTGATATGCCTCGCAAAAGATCTGCAATTGGAGTAAGAACTCCTGCAGCTCGCCGCATGGCTGCCCGAGCTGCTAGAGGCCAAAGTAGCCGCACATTGGATAATCCCCAACAGTCTCAAGCCCGCCTCCAAAGTGACCGGCTGCGCCACAGAGTTCAACGCGCATCAGAGACTCCCCAGCAGTCCCAAACACGACAGGAGGCTGACCGGTTGCGGCACTTCAGGCAACGAGCTAGCACTTGGGCTGATATGCTCAATGCTGCTTTCCATTACAATCCGGCCCTGAATTATGAACAATTTACTTTTCTTGAGATTGGCCATATGGATAAACAATGTCTACATTGTACTGCTTTTAAGTACAATGGTGAGCGGCCTGGAATGTGCTGTTCTGCAGGGAAGGTCAGAATTCCTGATTTACCTGAACCCCCAGAAGCTCTCAGAACTCTGCTCGATGGGTCTTCTCCTTACTCGGCTGAGTTCATGCAACGTGTCCGTCACTATAACAATGCCTTCCAAATGACATATTTTGGGTGTGGTAGTCGTGTTGTGTTGCCAGGTTACATGCCAACGTTTAATGTCCAAGGCCAGGTCTATCATAGAATTGGCTCTGTTTTGCCACCACTCAACTCTGATAGCCGCCAACTACAGCCAGCATTCCTTCAGGTTTTCTTCGTCGGAGATAGTAGTGCAGAGGTTGCCACCCACCATAGAAACTTTCCCATCACTAAGCCCCACATTGTTAGCATTTTGCAAGATATGTTGCATCGACATAATCCTTATGTCCATTTGTTCAAAGCTTCCATTGAAAAAATGCCTTCTCCTGATTACAAGTTGGTCATTAAGGCTGACAAAGCACCGCCTGGACACCATCCTCGCACATTCAATGCTCCAACCATTAATGAGGTTGCCATTGTTATTGTGCAGGAAAACTGTGACAGACGTGACATTGTTCTTTCCGAAAGAGGCAGTGGTGTGCAGAGGATTAACGAGTTTCACAGGTCTTATGACGCCCTGCAATACCCATTGGTTTTTTGGAATGGTCAAGATCAGGGGTGGCGAACCTTTTTATATTAGAAGGCCAATTTTCATTTTACCATTTTTGAGAAGGCCGCATATTTATATATATATATATATATATATATATATATATATATATATATATATATATATATATATATATATATATATATTATATATATTATATAATATATGACATTCGTATTAGATATTTTCAATAAAAATAATGAAAGTAATTGAAAATTGCGAAACAATAATTATAGTTTTGAATTTAAGAAAAGGCCACAACTTG